CATTGGTGAAAATGAAAAGGAAAAACTGATCTTATGTTTGATTTGATTGCTGAATGGAACGTATTATGAAAACGAGCTATTACTGTCAAAGAACTAAGTTCAAACTGTACAACTTGGCATCAACGTTCACCTTAATCCACCATTATGGTGGACAAAATTACGAGAGGTCATCTTTCGTTTATTCGGATTATAGACTCTCAATGTTGCTAATGGGAATTAAGCCGCTTAACGAATTCTGAAAACGCAGGAAAGTGAGGATTATGGGCACAATTACAATGCGGATGTTTCAGCCAGGAGAAGATTATGATTGCTATCGTAAAAAGGCAAAATGTTAAAGCGTCTGACTCAGACGTAGTTCACTTAGAGCTGTTGAAAGGTATGTCTGAGACCGAAATGCCAACATTTTGGAACATCACCTAGTGATTAAGCAAACAAAGGCAGTATACAATATGAGCAGTTATTCGAACAACAAACGAACTGACCTAAAAACTTCATTCCTTCGTTCGTTCGCCATGTGACGAGAAATCCTGATGAGTTAATAAAAGCTCGTTTTCCACACCGTAATACTACAGAACAGAAAACAAGCCACTGGATCAAAAATGTATATATGGATATGCGCTATAATTCTGGATGACCATAAACTTTATTAGGATTAAGAGAATATCTGTTCTGTAATAATAATAATGATATGCAGAATAATTATCTGTTTCAGTTCACTGTAAATTTTGCCATATTGCATCGTTCAATTTGCGAGTCCCATTCATCCGCGGGTTGATTTTCCTTGGAGGGTCTGATATGGCGATATAAAGCCTATCGTTTACCCTGTACTATCTCATGAAATCTGTTAGATATAATGTATCATGTTTTCTATAATGGACTATTGTTATCTCTGAACGTTTTGACCATGACTTCTAAATATATGTGATCTGTGTTATTCACTTAATACGACTGGCTTTTTTTGACCAGCTTTTTATTTTTTAGGCAAGCCAGCCATAGCACATCGAGACATCAAGAGTAAAAACGTGCTGGTCAAAGTCGGTGGAATATGCGTTATCGCAGACTTCGGACTAGCCGTAAGGTTTATCAGGTAGATATGGTTACTGTCAGATGGTTTAAAGCGACTGTACTGGTTTTCAATCGACGATGATTTAGCGAAACCGGTCAAATCGATATCAGGCCGAATCCACGGGTCGGAACGAAGCGTTACATGGCACCGGAGATTTTGGACGAGTCGATCAATACGCAGAGCTTTGAGGGTTATAAGCAGGCTGACGTTTACTCGTTTAGCTTAGTACTGTGGGAGATCGCCAGTCGTTGCCAGTTTAACGGTGGGGGCTGATTTCAGCAGTGAAGAAAGTCACAACAGTTACTGGTTGTTATTCGTTTCAGGAACTGTGTTGCCTTATAAAGTGCCGTACGAAGATTTAGTGCCTTCAGATCCGACTTTTGACGAAATGCGCCGTACGGTGTGTGCCGAAAGACGCCGCCCTGACATTCACATTCAGTGGACGCAGGACCCAGTTCTGTGCAGTGTCGCCAGACTGATCCTCGAGTGCTGGCACCAAAAGCCAAACGCGCGGCTCACTGCCTTAAGAATTAAAAAGTCGCTCAGTCGCCTGCTCGAGGAAATAACTGCCCAGAATTATGAACCAGGCTGGACTAAAATTTAGACGTTGTTGTATATAAACGGGTCTTTGGTTGCTGCTTGTTTTACGTGTTCACTGTTTTAGTGCACAGCCTTTGGCGAATTGCGCATATCCCAAGTGCATTTAATAAATCGTTGATTTTAAATAGCGTTTAACCATCGAAGACAATAATTCATGGCATATTACACTGCCCCTTCCTTATTTTAGCTCTGAGCAATGCCGATGATATCAGTTACCTTGGGTTGCCAGTTAAATCGACTTCATAGCTGCCTTTGATGCTTGTGGTGTCGTTCATATTTCCCACAGTTAATTAAATATGTCATAACTGAACTTATGTGAGCTGTGTACCCTACTTCATGAAAAGTGGCGCTCAGCGCGATTTCCTGGCGATTTTAAGTGAATCCATTTTCATTTTGGAACGGGCTACCGAGTGCTTTACTACCGTAGTGTTATCCTGCTGTTTACTCCCGGAAAACCGTTCTTTTCTCAGATTATTCTGGAAATGTAGGTGCTGGCAGCGGATAGAAAGCTCCATCGAAATCAAGCGAGCTTCCAGATGGAGTACTTATGCCATGATCCAAATTTTACTCTTCGTAGGAGCATCGAACAATACCGACAGCTTCAGTTGCCTTCGTTTACTGACTGTATTTAACTCAATACATCATCCATCGTTGTGAAGAATCTTGAATTACATTGGAGACATCTTTTAAATTTTTAAAGAGATGTGTGCTGGAACCATTTCTGCAGTCAACGTCGAAGGGGTCCTATCTGAATGGTTCGCTATTAACTGTAGACTTCTTAGCCAGCGAAATAGGCTTTTTTCATTGCTGTTTAACATTGTTTTCGACTTTCTTCTCCGAGGAGGCGTTAATTCTCGCAAAGACGAGTCTCTCCTTGTAAAATGAGGCACTGTTTAGAATACACTGCTAGATTTTTTACTAGCTTGTCTGCGGACAATTTTATTCT